ACAGTCCTGCTGCCTGAATGTGACCCTTTTAATGAGCACCTGACATGTTTGAGTTTAAAAAACATTCCTGTGCAGGGTCTTATTTACCAGTGTGAATGGTATCTATCGGGCCTCTAATTTAAAATTGTCACTGAGGCTCCCTCATGGTGGCCCTTTAGACTTCAAGATTGAGTACTATGGAAATCTCTTAGAATCTAGATGCACAGTGGGTCGGTGGGAACAGAAAGATTCTCACGCACAAAGAGCCCCATAAAACATCTACTGCATTGTCTCAGGTTGCTGGGAGAAACTGCATTCATATTCATAATGTATTGCATAATTATGAGATTCTGATTTTCATATTTCTAAGTGTACCTTTTCAGCTCTGCTATATTGCCAGATTAAAGGAGACTACACAACTTTATAAAATTGGGGTATTGTTTTGTGTTGCAGTTTGACAGTATTCTATTTTTAATTTGTTCAGCATTGATCCTAATAAAGACAAACTGTCATTGTAAGCATTGCCTAGCATGCAATACATTAGTTTGTCCCTGTAACAGCTGCTCATGTGTTGCTTTCTCTGTCATTCAGCGCTGATGTGTCCTTTTCTTTAAGCAGAGCCAGGAAATTGTGGAGAGCTCACTTTTTACCTCCATATGAACTGGATTACAGAAGATTTTCCCAGAAAGAAATTGTATTTAATGTCTTTCTTTTACTTCCTACTACCTAGTATGGAAAGGGGACATGTGGAAGAAAGTGCTTCATGCATATGTGATAAGTAGAGAATAAACTTTTTGATGGTTGACTTTTACTGGGTGTGTAAATTTTCCACATCACATATATCCCCAGGCTTTGGTTTCTTCTGGTGCAAACTGGGAGTGAGAATAATCATCACCTGGTGCTATGAGGTTCAAATGAGCAGACACTGTTAACTTTGTATCACCATCAAGGAGATGCAAGTCCATCTGTTGGCTGGGCAGTATTCACAAGGATGTCTCAAGTCTCAAATTAATGCATGTAATAACCTAAAATTTTATCATTAAAAATGTTATTTTGCCAAGAAAGATTCCATGGTGTGTCTGTACACATTTATAAGGATCTACTGTGAATCTGTTAGGATGGGCTCTATTAACAATATCTAAGTTAAGACTATGACAAGGAAAAACTGTCCCATCTTTGACATAGTCAGTATAGGACAAAGAAATGAAAGGTGGGGTGGACAGTAGGCTAAGTTAAAGTGAGATGCATAAGTGCTTTCCTCCTCAGTTGTCAGATGTGTTTTGATCAAGTGTGCTGCTCAAACTCCCTTCTAGGGGGCAGCAGTACCCTGGAATTTTGCCAATACTTCTTTTCACTTTAATGACACTTAGGTCGTTTTCCAAAGCAGCAAAATCTAATGAAGTAAATGTCCTCATTATGTTATCATAGGGGCATAATATTACTAGAAACAGATAAGTTTCTACCCAAAGTCATTAGAAAGAAGGGCTGTTGGAGTGCATTTATAAAGAAAATAACATAAAGTGGTAGAGTTACCAGGAAACTAATACTATATATTACAAAAATGTGGTTACACAGAGAAGTCTCCATTTCACTATTGCTTATATAAAGTTTATTTTTATGATCACATTTGATATATACTTTCTATTAAAATTAAGGTAACTAGGATAAATATATATGTATTTACAGAATTTGAAATCCAAAGTTTTAAATATGTGAGAATTAAAATCTGCTGAACAAAACACTTTCCTAACGAATATAAAAAAATTTGAAGTAAATGCAAATAGACAACTCTGACTTGGGTTTCCTTAAATTGTTTTGCCAGACACATTTATTGAATTGGTAATTTTTTATTTTGAAAGAGCATTGTTGACAAACAAACTCAAAATACAACGCAAAACTCAGTTCAAAACTCTTGACTCCTCTACTAGTTCTCTATTGGTTCAGACACTAAACCATAGCAAGTCTTGACACTTGATCCATATTCAAGAAATTTTATTTCTTCTCTCACTTGACCATAGTCACTAATAGATCTGATACAGGCAGCTTGTTAAAATGGCAGAAAGTTTCCTTTTGTATTTTAAGTTATCTTTATCATAGCTGCTAGATTCTTGTCACAAACTCTAGAATAGGTGATTGGGCACTTAGAGCATGAAGATGCAGATCATTATGGTCATCCATGAGGAAATTGATCGTTCTTCAAAAATCAACCCACAACAGCCTTCCTTTTCCTGAACCATCATTATCTTGGTAGAATAAGGAACACTCACTGCACCTCTTATTTCATTCAAGTTTTGTCTTTGTGTTAATTTGTCCTGAATTTCTACTTAGGGATATTTCAGAAATATGGTGGGGTAAGGATAAGAAAATGTTCTGGAGTAGCATCCTTTACTGTAATATTAGAGAGACACCTTGCTTGATTGTCATTATTTTGCAAAATATATGATACTGACATTCTCCTTTCTCTCCAAAGGAGATAATAAAGTAACAGACCAAATGGGGAGAATTCCTGAGTTATATATAATCTTAATTTTTGCACCAACTTCTTACTCATCACTCTTAATTGCCAAATCTTACAAAAAAGTCTATTCCTAGTAATCATATAATGAAAAGGACATCAGATATTAGTTTTCTAGAACATATTCACTATTTTAACAGCTTTCTTCACTTAACATTTGGTGAAAAGGCACAATGATTACTGGGAAAATGTAAATATCCTTCAAATATCCTAACTGTTCTTTTTTTCACAATATTCTATTAGTTAAAAATATCTTATATGGTACTGATGTTATTTGTCTTTTAACGTAACTTCAGAAATGCCCCAGCAGGACCAACTATAAGACAAGAAAGGTGAAGTTCTGTCACGCTGGCATGAATGACTGCTACTATAATCACCACTCCTCTTTTATTAGATTTTCTATTAATTAAATATAAAATCTGTTATTGGCCTTATACAACAGTATTCATCTGTTTTTCTTTAATTTCAAGTTGATTAAAAGTGAGATTTGGCATTAATTAAAAACTGGATTTATGGAGAATTTAATTATAAACAACATTTCAATGGTAAATATGTAGATGTCTTCTTAGTTCTGCTTAGTAACATACATAGTATTGAACAGTGGCAAGACAAAATGAGTCATTTGAAGAGAAGCACACCATCATTGGCCAGATTGTCTCCTTATAGATTGCATCCTATCTAAGGTGAGGATCAACAGCTCAGCACCTCCTGGGATTCTTTTAAACTCTTACACTGATGTCTGAAAAATCACTTTTACTTTGAAAATATGGACAGGCTGGGGATAAGGAATAAAAATGCAAAAACTAATCAAGGTGAGTCACTTTAACAGAGATGTGATCCAGCAAATCCAATTCCAGTCATGTATCTTCTAAGTTGAATTTAGAATGGATAGGGCAACTGATGTCCAAAAGGTCCCTGGAAGTTTCACATTTTATTATTTATTATCTTAACAAGCACCTGTTTGGAAAAAGGGCCCTACTCCATGGGCACTGGTAGTACAGCTATTTGCCAACTGGCATATTTGCATGTTGTCCTCGGGTTGGTTAGGTTTATCCTCGTCACACTGGGCTTTTAAGGGGAGCTCTATCTTCGCAGCCCAGGCTGTGTGTGACAAGATTAAACTGGCACACTTTACCGGATAGCTCTTGTGTTCCTGGCAGCGCTCGCCTGCCTGATACCTCTGAGAGAAGCTCAGCTGTCGCTCAGTGACCCATTAACACTACCATTCCATCCTGCAGCGTCATTTTTCTCATTCTTATGGAGATAATGGTCCCTAGAGATCACCAATACCTGCAGGAATGAAAGAACAGCAGAGACAGGCTACCTATCAAAGAGGGGGCAAACAACACAGCAAGACCATGAATTCCATCAGCAGAGTAATAAACGGGTGGAAAAGAGGAAGCCCATTTTGATGGCTGGCTTCAGAAGGTGGGTGAGAAGATCCAGTTTTAAGAGGTGCCATAACTTTTTTTTTTTTGCCATAAGTTTTTAACAAGCTATTTTCCCTTCCTGCCTGAATATCAAAAGAAGTGTTCAAAATAACATTTGCCAAGTAGATATAAAGAAGGCAGCTGCTTTGGACATGTACAGGGCAATTTAAGTAAAAATTATCATTTACAACTATGCAAAGGACAAAAAATAGAGAATGCATTAAGATAAACTACTTAATATTCTAAACAGAATAGGCTCCTTGGTTAGGGTTGACTTAATTGGAGCACAAAATCACCTTCTCAATAAAAGCACAAAAAATGAAAATGATATGTGATCTTTGTAGCTCCCGGCTTAGGGTGTTTTCTGTCTTATGATTGAACTGCTATCTGTAGTTTAAGTAAACTCTATTGCCGATTTGTATTCAATTTATATTATTTTGTGGGTCACTTTCCAAGAAGCTACACTTTCTAATACTCACTAAATGGAAAAGCATTATAAAAAGATGTGTCTCACTTTCGCAGACCAAGCCTAATTCAATGTAGATTGATACAGAAGCAAAAATCAAAACCATTTGAGTCTAGAGAAACCTACTGGAAACATCTTTGACCCCAACATAAAACAAAAAGATGGTGAGTCAGAAAACAGGTATAAAAGTGGGAGAGATTCAGAGTTTTTAAATAAAGGAAAGGTGGGTTATCACAAACTTTCAACCAGAATCTACACCTCAACCTTGTCTCCAGTTTCTCGAAAAGCATATGGTTGGGATCAGATCTTTGTCTGGCTGCAGTTTACAAAGCTCTCCCCTCGGCCCTCTCGTGACACAAGTCCTAAAAGCCATAGGATCATGTGGCTTATTTTGGAAAGGGCATCAACTTTTCATAACGAAAATGTTTTCTGTCGTTGGACATTATTTTGAAAATAATAATTTGAACTTCAAATAATTTTCACCGTTGTCAAATTAAATTAAATGTAGTGTATTGTGAATGGGATAAAAGCCACACAAACTTTAAAGATCGAAAACAAGACGTAAAGAAATATCGTTGGGACGACACCGTGGACCTAGTTTCGAAGGACTCGACTGGAGCCCTGGGGCCGAGCTGACCTCTGTCCCGTTTGCGCACAGGGGAGATCTGGGGGGCAGCGCCTCGGAGTCAGGCAGGGGAGGGGCCGGGCTGTCCTGGTCACAGGGTCGGCTGCATTCCTTAGACCAGGTGCTGCCGGTCTCATCCCTCAGCGCGCTGCAGGGCAGGGCGAACCTTGCGCGCGCGCCGGTGCGCAGATCACGTGGCCCAGCGGTCGCGATCGCGCAGAACCCGCGACCCCCTTCGGCGGGCGTTGGGCGTCACCCGTCGTGCTTCTAGGTGGAGGGCGATGCTTGCGGCGATGCGCTCCCGCGGGGGCCCGAAGCCAGCCGTCTGGGCCCGGCTGGCGACCCGCGGCTATTCCCAGGGCGCGACCTTCGAGATCAAGCCTTGCGACCTGTACCGGCTGGAGCGGGGCCCGCCGACCACTGCAGAGCTGAGCCGCGAGGACGCGCTGCGCTACTACCGCAGCATGCAGACGGTACGCCGCATGGAGCTGCGAGCCGACCAGATGTACAAGCAGAAGTTCATCCGCGGGTTCTGCCACCTATGCGACGGGCAAGAGGCGTGCTGCGTGGGGCTGGAGGAGGGCATCGCGCCCTCGGACAGTGTCATTACGTCATACCGCGCGCACGGCGTGGGCTTCGCGCGCGGCCTCTCGGTGCGCGCCATCCTGGCTGAGCTCACCGGGCGGCGCGGCGGCTGCGCGCAAGGCAAGGGCGGCTCCATGCACATGTACGCGCGCAACTTCTACGGCGGCAACGGCATCGTGGGCGCGCAGGTGCCGTTGGGCGCGGGGATCGCCCTGGCCTGCAAGTACCTGGGCACCGGCGGGGTCTGCCTGACCGTGTACGGCGACGGCGCCGCCAACCAGGGCCAGATCGCCGAGGCCTACAACATGGCAGCGCTGTGGAAGCTGCCGTGCGTCTTCGTGTGCGAGAACAACCGCTACGGCATGGGCACCGCGGCCGAGCGCGCGGCGGCCACCACCGAGTACTACAAGCGGGCGCACTTCCTTCCCGGGCTGCGCGTGGACGGCATGGACGTGCTGTGCGTGCGCGAGGCCACCCGCTTTGCGACCGAGCACTGCCGCTCGGGCCAGGGCCCGCTGGTCATGGAGCTGCTTACCTACCGCTACCACGGGCACAGCATGAGTGACCCCGGCGTCAGTTACCGCTCCCGCGAGGAGGTGCAGGCCATCAGGAGCAAGAGTGACCCCATCATGCTTCTGCAGGAGAGGATGGTGAATAGCAACCTCAGCAGCGTGGAGGAGCTGAAGGAGATCAACGCCCAGGTGAAGAAGGAGGTGGAGGAGGCCGCCCAGTTCGCCACCTCAGACGCCGAGCCCTCCCTGGACTTGCTGGGCCACCACATCTACAGTGACAGCCCGCCCTTTGAGGTTCGCGGCGCAAACCAGTGGATCAAGTTTAAATCCATCAGTTAAGGAAGACGATATGCAGATGTATTAGAAATCTTCAGTCAGATCTACGGTCAGCTTTACGTTTAGGGAGAGTATAAAACCCTTGTAAAGTTGCAATGGAAGAGAGTAGTAGATTATTAAAAGTTATTAAAAGATGTACACGCAATGTAAAGGGTTGTTCAATTACATATTGTATTAAAACGCTATATTAATCATTTAGTGTGAATGTCTTTTAAATTACTATTTTTTCAGATTTTTTTTATTAATACACTTGTACAGTACATACAGTTAACATTCCTTGTGGGCAGTTGCTGCATGTACAGAACAAAGCTGAATTCATTTTTTCATTCCCTGTCCCTTCTTCCCTCCCCTCCTCCATCTAAAATAGGAAAAGTAAGATTAACTTCCCAAATTATTTGCCATAATAACTCTATTTGTTTAGCTTTACATCATTTTAAACAATACTCTTATAGCACAATACTAGTAATAGCTTGTTAATGTTGACCATTTCCCAATAAAACTCAACATTTAACTGGACGGGGATGGAAGGCTACCAGCTCATTTTCAGTGATACTGCACTCTGGTATAATACTTTTAGTGTACTAATTTGAGGGTAAACAAAATATAGTTGCATTTTGCTTAAATATTCATGTTATCCTTATTTTCTATTCAAACCATTATGTGTCCTAGATTTTTAAAAATCCTGAATTTCAGAATGAAAAATGAAAAAGTTAAATATAAAAAAAACCAGGTGGCAACATCAAAAGAGTTAAAGGAGATATCAATAATACACAATTGAAAGTAAAATTGCCCTGCTTTCAACTTTAGTTATTGACTGTACATTGCTAATCACTGTGTAATTTACTATTTAGTATCTTTTTATGCATTCACAGATATGTTTATCCACAGGAAAATTTAACTTGGACCATTTAGGTTTGGTATTCCCTGTAGCCCAATGTCATATGGATCAACAAGTCATGATTTAGCAAAAAGTTTTATTTATTTGGACTTAAATTCTTTTGAACTTCATATTTGGAATACCTTACTCCTCTGAGATAGACTTCACTGCAATCAGGAAGGATAATGTGAACTTGATTTAAGAAATAGTGCATGGAATGTATAAAAAACAGATAATGGTCAAAATTTTTTCTTTACTGAATACCATATACTTCTACAAATACAAGCTAGATTTTAAGAACCTTAATAGAAAACGAAACCTCAGAGGCTTGTGTTATGTACACATATTTATAGTTATAACAATCTCCAGTCTTTCTCTGGTTAAACACGTAAAATGACCTTAAAACTCCAAAGTCAGAACACAGAAGTAAACGTTGTGTTTATAAATGAATGATATTTCTAGTTAAACTGTCTTTTGGTTAGATTGCCTCAGCCATAGTCCAGAGATGCTTCAATTGGATCACTACTGTTTGCAACAAAAAGATATTCATAAAATGTCCAAAATAGTAAATACATCTTTCTACTTGCAACAAATTCATTTTTTATTGAAATTCTTATATTTAAATCCCCATGCTTGGAATTAGAAAAATAAGCTACTCAAACCTAATTTACATATACAATGTACAAAAGTCATTTAATAAGTTTATTTACAGAATGGGTCAATACCAGCTGAAGTTAAGATATAAAAACTTGATTAGAAATGAAACCATCAATAAGATACACAGACATTGTACTTCACTTAAAAATATCTAAATATGACATCTTTTTCATAATCTACATAATCAAATTCCATCAGGCAAGAGTTTTTAATATTAAAAACATTGTACTTCTGTGTGTACCTTCATGAACTATAATCACATCGCTGGTTATGCACAATTATATAACTTTGCAAAACAAAACAAATCCTAAACTTTTTTGTAAATTTAATTTTATTGGTACATTTTAGATATACAATATAATGACATTCATCATTGGAAATGTGCACCTTTACATAATCTCACTTGGTTCTTATTTTTTCCCCCTTCCCCTGCCCTCCCTTCAACCCTTCCATCCCTCCCTATTTACAAAGACTTTATTTCCAATTTTTCATTTTCTCATATTAATTCCATTCCCTTCTTTCCCTTCCCCTACCCCTCCCACTTCCCCTTCCCCTTTGACCCTATTCTTCCATTTCACATTGTCTGTTATATCTTTTAGTCCTTATTTACACTTTCAGTTTCTCAGACCAGAGAAACTATATGATGTTTACACGTGTGTCCTATTTATTTCACTTAAGAGTATCGCCTCAATGTGCATCAATTTAGCTATAAATGCTTCTAGTTTCTCATCTCTTATGGCTGTACTCCATTTTATAAGAAAACCACATTTTCTTTATTCAGTCTCCAGCTGATGGGCATTTGGGCTGTTTCCAAGTTTTTGCTATTACATATTGTGCTGCTATGAATATGGGTGCACATATATCACTGTGGTATCATTCTTTTAATTCTTTGGGGAAGATTCCCAACAGGGGAATAGCTGGCTCAAATGGGACCTCCAGTCCTAGTTGTTTGAGGTATCTCCATACTGATTTCCACAGTCCATGCACCAGTCTACATGCCCACCAACAGTGGAACAGTGTTCCTCTTTCCCCACAGCCCCACCAGCATTTGTTATTGGTTGATTTCATGATAGCAGCCATTCTTTGTGGAGTGAGGTGGAATCTCAGCATTGTTTTCATTTGCATCTCTCGAATGACCAGTGAAGTTGAACATTTTTTCATGTATTTATTTGCTATTTCTACTTCTTTGTCTGAGAAATGTGTGTTCATTTCAGATGCCCATTTTTGTTTTGAGTCTTTAAATTTGGGAGGTCTGAGATTTAAAGTTCTTTCGAGATAGTAGACCTTTGTCTGAGGAACAGCAAGTGAAAATTTTTCCCCACATTGTGGGTTGTCTTTTCACTCTGTTGGTGGTTTCTCTTGCTGTGCAGAAGCTTTTTAATAAGAAGAGATACCACTTGTTGATTGATTGTGCCAGTTCATGGGCAACTGAGGTTTTGTTCATAAAATCTTTTCCTACGCCAATGTCTTCAAGAGTTCTACCTAACATCTGTTCCAGCCGGTTCAGCATTTCTGTTTTAATATTTAGATATTTCATCCATTTCAATTTTAGTTTAGTGCATGGTGAGAGATGTAGTCTAGTCTTAATCTTTGGCAAGTTGAAACCCAATTTTTCCAGCATGATTTATTAAAGAGGCTATCTTTCCTCCACTGATAGTGTTTGGCTCCTTTGTCAAAGATTAGGTGGGTGAATGTGTCTGGAGTTGTTTCTGCATCATCTAATCTGTTCCACTGGTCCTCAGGTCTGTTTCTTTGCCAGTACCACGCTGTTTTTATCACAGTAGCTTTGTAGTATAGTTTCAAGTTGGGGGTTGTGATACCCCCTGCCATGCCTCTGTTACCTAGAAGCTTTTGCTATTCTAGGTCTGTTCTCGTTCCAAATGAATTTTTGGATTGTTTTGTGAAGGTCTGTGAAGTATGCTGCTGGAATTTCAATTGGGATTGCATTAAATCTATATAGAAGTTTTGGAAGTATGACCATTTTCACTATGTTGATCCTTCCTACCCAGGAGCAGGTAATGTCTTTCCTTTTTCTGATATCCTCTTCAATCTCTTTTTTCAGAGTGCTATAGTTTTCAGAGAAGAGGTCTTTGATTTTTTTTTTTTGTTAGGTTGATTCCTAGGTATTTCAGTTTTTTGAATGCTATTGTGAAAGGAATTGTTTGCCCTATTTCTCTCTCAGTGACTCTGTTGTTCATGTAGAGGAAAGCTATTGATTTTTTATGTGTTGACCTTGTATCCAGCTACTTTACTGAATTTGGTTATTAAGTTTAGAAGACTTTTGGTGGAGTTCTGTGGGTCTTCTATATAGAGTATCATGTCATCTGCAAATAATGACAGTTTGACTTCTGCATTTCCTATCTTTATTCCTTTTATTTCTTTCTCTTGTCTAATTGCTGTGGCTAATGATTCCAAGACTATATTGAAGAGGAGTGGTGATAGTGGACATCTTTGTCTTGTTCCTGATTTTAGTGTGAAGAATTTCAGTTTTTGACCATTTATTATGATATTGGCTATTGGTTTTTCATAGATGTCTTTTATCAGATTGAGGTAGAGACCATCTATTCCAATTTTTTAGAAATTTTTTGTGTTTAATTAAGTCAAGCTTTTATTGGTTGACTACTAGCAATAATTTTTCAAGCTGTAAAACAGAGAGGTGATGAAATCCATCTATTTGACTGTATATCCTGTTAATACAAAACTGAAAGGAAAATCGAAGCTATTCAATCTGTTTTATCCACTTAATCATGATAAAACATCATAATCATAATGAGAATTTCATTATGAGAAGAAAAAATTCCTAACTTATCATCTTATTATACTTTATAATGGTAGATTGTATGGGATGAAATGAAAGAGGAGTTGTATAAAGGGAACACTGGGATATATTAGAATTTATTAAAAATAAATAGGATATGTCTGCCTGACTAGTACACAACAGATATGCTAGCAAAATTTAACCTGATAATTTGTGAGAAGGAGCCAGTTTTATCAAACTGAAATACAATTCACATACCATAAAATTCTACTAAATGTACAATTCAGGAATTTAAGCATATGTATAAGGCTATGCAACTGCTACCACTGATTCAGGAACATTTTTTTCACTACAAAGATAAAACCCATGCCATTTTCTTTTTCTTTTTTCTTTTTTTTGGAGGTACAGGGATCGAACTCAGGTCCTTGCGCCTTTGAGGCAGGCAGCGGAACCACTGAGCTAAATCCCCGGCCCTATCCCATGCCATTTTAAAGGCAATCTTATTTCCAGGGAAGCTACAATCTAATTTCTGTCTCTATATTTGCCTATTGTGAACAGTTCCTTCAAATCATAGTATATGAGATCATATGTGCTGGCTGCTTTCACTTAATGTTTCCATTTTATTCATGCTGTAGCACATATCAGTACTATATAGATATATAGTGAAGCAGGTTAAAAACAGCTGCAAAACTTCTGAGTCTTTCCAGTAATGAGTTGGATCTATGCCCCTTGCCTTGCACTGTGGGTGGGCTTTTGACTGCACTTACCTAAGGAAAATAGCACCAATGATGTACAGTGAAGAAACTGAGAATGAAGAAGTTTCATGTCTTTTGGGAATATTCTCTCTAGGAGCTGTACTTTTCTTGTACAAGTTGAAATACACTGAGAAGTTCCTATTAGAG